CTAAGGGTATGTCTACACTACCCTCCTATTTCGAACTAGGAGGGTAATGTATGCATACCGCACTTGCAAATGAAGCCCGGGATTTGAATTTCCCGGGCTTCATTTGCATAAGCCGGGCGCCGCCATTTTTAAATCCCGGCTGGTTCGAACCCCGTGCCGCGCGGCTACACGCGGCACGAACTAGGTAGTTCGAACTAGGCTTCCTAGTTCGAACTACCGTTACTCCTCATTCCACGAGGAGTAACGGTAGTTCGAACTAGGAAGCCTAGTTCGAACTACCTAGTTCGTGCCGCGTGTAGCCGCGCGGCACGGGGTTCGAACCAGCCGGGATTTAAAAATGGCGGCGCCCGGCTTATGCAAATGAAGCCCGGGAAATTCAAATCCCGGGCTTCATTTGCAAGTGCGGTATGCCTACATTAACCCGCTAGTTCGAACTAGCGGGGTAGTGTAGACTTACCCACAGAAACAAAGGTCAAAACTTCCTTCAGACCCAGAGTGACTACAGCTGACATTCTGAGGGTTGGTTGGTTAGTTGATTGGTTTAGTGCTACTGACAGAGATTGCTGTCTACAGGTAAGACCTCACCCTACATTTATTCCCATTGGTGTGTCAGGGTATGTCTACACTAGCCCCCTAGTTCAAACTAGGGAGGCTAATGTAGGCATTCGAAGTTGCAAATCAAGCCCGGGATTTAAATATCCCATGCATGATTTGCATCTTCCCGGCCGGTCGTCATTTTTGAAATTTACAAGTCCGGTCTAACTGCCCACATCTACACGCAGCAGGGACCCGGTAGTTCGAAGTAAAGCCCCTAGTTCGAACTACCTGTTAAACCTCCTTGCAGGAGGCTAGTGTAGACATACCCTCAGACTTTAATTTAAACCAATCTATTTTGCCTGTTTTCTTCCTCAAAACTCATTCCTTCCTGAGAGATAAGAAGCTCCACACTTTGGACAGTTCAAAGGTTTTATTAAACTACATTAACAGGACAAGGCCTGTGGTTCTCAAAAATACTGTTGTTTGTATGGATCACTCCATCTTCAGCTTTTCTGAGACCTCTTTATATAGAATTCTGGATTAGTGAGGGAACGGAAAGATGGTTTTGGTGGCTCAGCCTTTTATGGTATTGGGTGGGAGAACAGAAGAACATAGACTCATAGACTCCAAGGTCAGAAGGGACCATTATGATCATCTAGTCTGACCCCCTGCACAGTGCAGGCCACAAAATCTCACCCACCCCTCCTAGAATAATCCTCTCACCTATATCTCAGATATTGAAGCCTTCAAATACTTTGAAGACCCCAACATGCAGAGAATCCTCTAGCTGTGATCTGTACCCCATGCTACAGAGCAAGGCGAAAAACCTCCAGGGCCTCTGCCAATCTACCCTGGAGGAAAATTCCTTCCCGACCCCAAATATGGCGATCAGCTAAACCCTGAGCATGTGGGCAAGACTCACCAGCCAAACACCCAGAAAGGTCTCTATAGTAACTCCTCTCATCCCTCCATTGACCTATTTCCCACTGATAATGAATGATCAATTAGTTACCAAGATCATGTTAT